AATATTGAATTTTACATTTGTAAAGGAAAGCAAATGGTATTTAACACCAAGTACTAAGTAAGGCATGCAGAGAGTCTACCTTAGTGAGGCTTTCAGTGAAAGAGAAAAGTAAAACTTCAGTGAGCTCCACAGGTACATAGTCTACTGTGCAAACTGTGCGTTCAGAAAAAAATGTTGACAGGAGTTATGTAATCTCCACAGCAAGATGAATCTATAAAAGAACCCTACTGCACTTCCTAGCTTGCTCACTAGTACTATAGTAGTGAACAATCTTAAAAGTGATCTTCCAGTTACATCTTTCTTAGTGTGTGTGTGTGTGTGTGTCTGTCTGTCTGTCTGTCTGTCTGTACTTTAATAGAAACAAGGATGTTTCAGCATATGCAAGCCAAGAAACAAAGTACCTCAAAACCTCTAGAAAGATAGAATACTGACTAAATTTAAGACTTTCCCCAGAATTTTGTAGGGGAATATTTTTACAAACATTTATGCCAACAAACTAGAAAATTCTAGTAGAAATGGATATATTCCTAAAAAATATCAATGTGTCAGAACTGAGTCAAGAAGATATAATATACACCATTTAAACAGATCTATAACAAGTAATGAAATTGAAATGGCAATAAGAAAACATCCCATTAAAAATGCAGGTCCTGAAAATTTCATATCTGACAGCTATAGAACATTAAAGAAGAACTAATACAAATACTCCTCAAAATATTCCATAAGATAGAAAGAGATAGATCATTATCAATTCATTTTTTGAAGCCAACATAACAACTTTCCTAAAAGCAAACAGGGACTAAACAATAAAAAAGAACTATAGATCAATTTCTTTGGTGAACATAGATGGAAAATTCCTTAATAAAATACATGCCAACAGATTTCAACAATTAATAACAAAATCATATACTATAATAAAGTTGTATTCATCCCAAGAATGTAATATTGGTTCAATATATGTAACTCAATAAATGTAATACACCAATAGAACCAAGGATAAGAATCATATGATCATTTCAATAAATGCAGAAAAAGCCTTGGACAAAACCCAGCATTTTTAATGATTAAAGGCTCTGGAAAGCGAGGACTAGATTGAACATTCCTCATTTGGACTGGATGTGAAAATAAGAACAGCCACATTGGATATTTATGCAGCAATGTATAACATTTATGAATTTATGCATACTATATGATGAAGCAATTTTATTCCTACATCACTACATAATGGAAATAAATATGTATGTGTACCAGGATATATGTATAAAGTGTCCATGGCAGTATTAACAATAGCCAAAAAGTTGAAGCTTCCCTAATATACATGAAAGATAGGATTACTTAAAATGTGGTATAATCACATAGGGAAATTGCATCTGGCCATGAAAGTGAACAATATAAAACTACTCATAAAAGTACATGAACAGCTGAGCACTGGTGGCTTACAACTGTAATCCTAGCTACTCAGGAGGTTGAGATCTGAGCATCATGATTCAAAGCCAGTCCAGGCAGGAAGGTTCGTGAGACTCTTCTCTCCAAAAACTAATCAGAAAAGGCTGGCAGTGGGGCTGGGAAGATGGCTCAGTGGTAGAGCTCTTGTCTTGCATGCGTGAGGCCCTGGGTTCGATTCCCAGCACCACATTAGCAAAAAGAAAAAAAGCCAGAAGTGGCACTGTGGCTCAAGTGGTAGAGTGCTAGCCTTGAGCAAAAGAAGTTCAGACACAGAGCCTAGGCCCTGAGTTCAAGCCTCAGGACTGGCAAAAAATTCATGAACACGCAAAAATATGTTAAGCAAAGAAGTCAGTTGCAAAAGACTATATATATTTTAACTCATTTTTATAGGAAGCTCAAAACAGACAAAACTAAAGTATGATGCTAGAAGTCCAATTAATGTTCCTCTTTGGGAGAGTGGGCAATTTGAAGTCAGAATGAGAGGATATTGGAATAAGTTGTGACAGTGTTCTGTTTCTCATTCTGGTTCTGTTACATGAGTGTATCCCATTGTGAAAATTTTCCAAACTGTGCACTTATACTTTGATAATTTTTCTGTGTTATACTTCAATAAAAATGAATAAAAGTGGAAAAGTTAAAAATAAAATGAAATAAAAATCAGACTTGGATCAGCTCAAGACCATTGTAAAATCTAGATAACCTCTTCAAAAGTGCTTAGAAATTCTCATCTCTTACAACCCAAAGAAAAATAAATTCTGAAAATCATGGCCAGGAGTGAATCATAAATGAGGTAGAACTACAAAATACTACTGGATGATGCAAATAAATGTCCTATTGCAAACATTAGGAACTTCATGAAAAATAGATGCACAATGACTTGGATGTAGATATTTGCACTTAAGAACCTATGTCCCTCCCCCACGGTATAACCCCTGTTTTCACTGTATTTGATGTTGGTATAATTTGTGGAGGGGAAGGGAAAAACAAATCGTTTAAATAGGAATACAGGTAGACCCATTGCAACAATGAGATGTACAAGTTGTTATGTCAAAAAATGAACTTGACAACTTTGGGGGGGTAGAGAGGGGGGAGATGGGGAGGGGAAACAAAGGAGGAGGCAACAATGCTTGATAAGAAATGTACTCATTATCTTGCCCATGTGATTGTAACCCCTCTGTACGGTATTTTCACAATTAAAAAAAAAGAAAAAAAGGAAAAAAACCCTGAGGTTTTAGCCATCAGAAATTCTCCTTACTCTTATAGGTCATTGAAACAGGCCTTTGTACCTCCTCCTCTGACACAGTGGAGAAGAGTTACTTTCTTACATCAAGTGACCCAGAATATACATTATCAACACAGGAGACTCTCACATGATGACACACTCAAACCTCAGGCTCTTTTTGCCTCCAAGCCAATTAGCAAAGCCAGCTATCATTATAGGTGAAGCAGGAAAGGGAAGATTCTATTCTGGGAGGAAAGAACTTATTAACAAAAAAGTGGAAAACCTGGATCAAATATACTGGCACAAATTCTCAGAACATATTTGGGAGTGAATCCTGAGGCTTTGAATGGGAATTAGGGATATTAACATTGATTTTGACATGTCACCACAGCAGGACTGCTCTATAAACACTCCATGAGGCAAACTACTTGCTATATAAAGGTACTAAATTTTGGTTCAAGTTTCTCAACTGTGATGAAATCTAGTATATGTAGTTACCATCTGCTTTTGCCATGTCATATAATAGAACCTGGGAATAGATGAACTGGTGCTACTAGGCTGATACTCCTGTTTGTTGCTCTGTAAGAAACATTTTTGTTCTGATGCATCGAATCTTACATTCTTTTACCTCCAGTGGAATGGCAAATTGGTATGCTAGCTTCTTGGTCATTTGTTATAATCTAGGAATTTTATGCCCTCCCAAATATAGATAGATTTCTGCAAGGATTGATATAACAAAGTGTCAATATACACCAAGGAAGGGGACACATGGAAACTAGAGTAGAATTGGTTTACCCATGTCATAGAAGAAAGTAAAGGTAAATGTTACTTCTTTTGAACATGAAGTGAGTTCATGAATAGACACTGAGAAGTTGCCTAAACAGTGCCCTCTCCTGCCAGGTAGGGGACAAAACTGCATCCTTAATTCCTGTGGAAGAGACAGGCACAATTTCTCTTTGTTTACAAATGACCAAAAAAGCCCAGTGCTAGAGGCTCACACCTATAATCTTAGCTACTCGGGAGGCTGAGATCAGAGGATCACAGTTTGGAGCCAGCCTGTGTAGACAAATCCACTAAATATTTATGTTTGTTAACCAGCAAAAAACAAGAACTAGAGGGGTGGCTCAAGTCATAGAACCCTGAACAAAAAAGCCAAGTGAGAGAGGCCTTGAGTTTGAGCCTCAATACTGGTATACAGACAACACACACACACACACACACACGCGTGCGCGCGCGCACACACACAAAACCATCCCTTAAAAGTGTAAAATGACCCCAAACAAAGTAGTAAAATGCACCCAAAGGCAGGGAGATCTTAAAATACCATCAAAGGACTGGGAGAGGCTGAGATTCAGTTGGCCCATCTGTAGCCAGAACAAAAGCTGTTATGGTCTCATGGGGCAAATGGTAGCAATCAGGATGCCATGAATCATGCAAACCACTTGATCAGGACAAAAATATGTCCAAACATGGCATGCTACTTTGAAGCTCTATTTCAATGACATTATGATCAGCTTGAAGTAAATAGCCAGCACAAGCTTTGCAAAACACATAAACTGATATGAATGTGGTTATTCAACTTTGTAATACTATCCAGCATACTTGTAATATGCCAGTACTTTGGAGGTTAAGGTAGAAGGATAGTGAATATAAGGACAGCCTGGGCTAAATAGCAAATTTCAGGCCAGCATGCACTACATAAAGAGAACCTTTTTCAAAGCAAAAACAAAAACAAACAAATCCCTTAAAAACAAAACAAACATAAAACAAAAAATAACACCTATAGGTGCTCTAGACTATGTCATGAAGACAATTATAGCCTGGATAATGAGCCCTTCATCCAGAGAATGACTGATAGATGTTTAATCTTTACTTGCCTAAAACAAAAGTGGATAACTAACTTTGTTGTAACTATGAAGAGGTCTTATGCAGGTGACTATGACAATTTTAGGCCAAAAACAATTGCCAAGATAAAAATAGACCTAGCCTTAACCAAGAAAATTTTGTAATTTTAAATATAAAACAATCAGTGGGAATATTAAACTCCCCATAATGTGAGCTAGCTGTTAATTGTTCTGGATTTAACTATATAATAGGGCTTTGTCCAAGAAGAGAGATTAATACATGAAGCAATGAAGCAAATTTAGCCTCCATAGTTTCTGTGTGAGTAAGGAGACACAAACGGGCAATTATCTATACAATTGAAATATAAAGTGTCTCCATGGCATCATATTTCTTCATGGGATCAATTTCTGTTTATTAGAGATAGAAAGAAGCTAACTGGTTACCACAGAACAGATTTTCATCAGCATGTCCACTACTTCACCCTAAGGCTTGCAAAGATATAGAACAAGAAGACAGTCCTAGGGCAGTGACTTATACCCCTGATGATTCCAGGGTAAGCAAACCTATGGTGTTTCAGTTGTATAAAGGTACGTGTGAAGAATTTTATGAACTGTATGAACCCTGATGTCAATAAATGCCTATTTAACAGGTATTTATTATACTGTACTTTTAATCATTAAGGTATACTCCTACCAACCAAAGAAATTGTATTGTACAATGTATGTCATGCTGTACAAGCAACAGCCTGATGCATTTCATGTTTATCTCATGTCTTGCTTACAATACCTTCTCCTGTGATTGATATAATCTACTGGTATTTTATGGAGCCTAGCTCAAATGATAATTATTTTTATTAGTTGTGGGACTTGAACTCAGGGCCTGGGTCTATCCCTGAGCTTTTTCCCTCAAGGCCAGCATTCTACCACTTTGAGCCACAGGGTCACTTCCAGTTTTCTGGTGGATAATTGGATATAAGTCTCACTTACTTTCCTGTCTGGGGTGAATTTGAACCCCGATCTTCACATTTCAACTTCTTGAGTAGCTATGATTACAAGCATGAGCCATCGGCACCCAGCTTCAAATGATAAATATTATATCAACAAAAAGTGCAACCAAATTTCAATCACTGAGACCAGAATTTTTATTAGAGAATATGTATTTTATGCTTATAGGAATGGAGAGCCACTATAGACTTTCATTAGCAATGTAACCAATCAAAAGTTCACTTAGTGCAGCAATGTCTAAAGTATATTGAAATACCTAGGAGATGTGTAAATGATATTAAGAAGATCAGGAGGAAAACTTCATACTTCCATTATATTCATTACAATTCATTATTCATTTGTTTCAAATTTACCTATCCAAAATTTCCTGTGTATGTAGATGTATTCAAAATAAAAATACATTATTAATGGATGCCCTAAAGATAGTTCTTAGGGAAAAGTGTATATCTTTTGAAGTTTGCAAACTTCTACTCAAGAAGAATTCTCTCTTCTCTAAAGAATCTGAGATCACAGATATGTCACCCTACTATTGTCATTTGAGGATCCAGAAACAAGGAAGGAGATGGACTAAGTAGTGACTCACCATTTCAATCTTCTCTCAGTAATGTCTGTCATCTTCCTACAACAAGAGTAACCAGCTCCTACAGGTGGATCCACATATCCAATTACACCCTCCACTCTCACATATACACATTCTCAGTGAAAGTAGACACTCAGACGATCTCATTTTAATGCAAGTATACACACTTCTACTTACATCCAGGTTAAATGTTCACCTTCCCAAGGTCAGACAACATAGTCAAGTCATCACAGAAATCATGGTGGATACCAGTTTTTTGTGGCAAGTGGATAGCATAAATTCATTCTCAGAGGTCAAAGTTTAATCACTGACATAGAAACTTGAAGTGCTACCTCAGTTTAATAAATGACTGTACATTACCAGACTATCCAGAAACTCCCTAAAATATACATTAGAGGAAAGGCTTTCTATAAAATTTGTTAGTGAATTAGTGCAGATAGAAGGACTAACAATTTTGAATTTCCTTTAGATGCAGATATGTATTCTAATTCTAGCATTGTATTTTACAAGATGAATGGAATATATTCTGAGTCTGAAAGAGATCTCAGTGGTCACTCAATCCCAATTGCACTATTACTTCCATATGGCATCAACTGTTAAGGAGAGAAAAATATAAATTAGAGTTAGGTACAAGAGCCTCATACCTGTAATTCTAACTTCTCTGGAAGCTAGGATCTATAGATCAGGTTTCATAACCAGCCTGTGCAGAAAAGTCCAAGTGATTCTTCAATTAACAAGCAAAAAAGCCAGAGTGAAAAAATGGTTCAAGTACTAGAGTGTCAGCCATGAGTGTAAAATCTGAGCAAGTGTGCAAGGTGCTGTGTTCAACCTCAGTACTGAACACCTACACATATAAAAGAAACATTTAAAGCATGTAGTTCAGTTCCATATCTTCTCAATCAGTGGCTCAGGTGTGAACCATGTGGAATAAGGAAATAGAACTTTCCTAATAGAACTTTCCTATCTGCCTATAGACAACTTTCTCATTCACACGTTCACTTACAAAGATGAGGATCACCTGAAATTTCAGTTACAGGAATCTGGTTTTCAGATCTTCATGTCAGAGAGTGCTTTTGCTGAAGCATTTTACCTCTGTGGAATAAATAGTACTTCTCAGTCACTAAATTCATTTTCACCTAAACCATATAATTAACTTCTTTCTGCAACACCTTCAAATCATCCACTGAACCAGATCATTACACTATAACTTGTTCTTTCACTCAAAAAAGTCTATACTAAATAGGAAATGTTTATAAGGTTTATTATGTCACTTTATGTCTTGAAAAAAGCCAAATTAATCAGGAATGGGTAGCTCACAGCTGTAATCCTAGCTACTAAGGAGGCTGATATCTAAGGATTGTAGTTTGAATCCAGCCGATGCAGGAAAGTCAATGATACATTTATCTCCAAATAACCATCAAAAAGCTGGAGGTGGAGGTACGAATCAAGTAACAGATCTCTAGTCTTGAGCAAAAATGTTCAGAGACAGCACCTAGGTGCTGAGTTCAAGCCCTAGGACAAGTACAAAAACTACCATAAAAGGGAGGAATAACAAAAATAAATGACACTTTATTCAGAAATTAAATACTACATGTTTATCATAAGGATGGGACAGATTTCATTAACAAGTAAACTGTGTATCATGTACCACAAAATATGTATATTGCAAAGATACTATATATTTTTCTTAAGCTGTAATTACTAATAAATGAATAGATAAAAATAATTAAAAGACATATACTAGCTTGTTGAAATATTTGTCTATGTAGGATTGGATCAGTTAGAAGTGTGCCCTAGCAGAAAATCTTAGAGACTTAATCTCCAAAATAAACAGCAAAAAGCCCAACTAGAGTTGTGGCTTAAGTGGTAGAAAACCATGAGCAAGAAAGCCAACCAAGAGCATGAGACCATAAATTCAAGTCCCAGTTCTAGCACAAAAAAAATTGGAGAGGGTGGGAAAAAAAGATGAAAGGGATGACATTGACCAAGATAGTTTCTTGAATGGTAACTCCTTTGTACAACTATGTACTTAAAGATAATAGTTGAGAAAGTAGCGATGGTATAAAGAAAGGAACAGATTAACAACCCTTGTAATAAACTTTCAGTCTCTCTTTCTCACAGCCTAAATGTCAGAGCAAATCAAGTAGCCAGTGGAAAAAGGATGATATAGACCCAATATCAAAATGAATATAACAGAATATTAAACCTGCAAGAAAATGGTTTCATGGTAACACAGTCCACCATTGTGCCTGCCTAAGAACATCACACACACACACACACACACACACACACACACAGAGAGACACGTTAATTAATGTTTGAACTAGCACACATCAATAAATTCATTTACTACTTTCACCTAACAAAATAACTGATCTTCTTACAAACATCTTACTCCTCCACCAAAGAATGATATAAACATTTCCCTCAGTAATCCAATCTAAATATTCCTAGGCTAGTACCAATAATTCCTCAAAGTCAGCCACTGTTCAAGTTGAATGTTACATTCAATGAGATCTATGTTTCAAGTGAGACAAAAAATCCACTGCTATTTTAGTATCACAATAATTAAGAGATAGAAGAAAGTGTTGAAATGTACAAACAGCAAAAGCAAAAGAGAAAAATACATAACTGCTATCATCTGCATTACTTTATCTGTCTAAAGGGTTATAGTTAATATTTATATGAATAATAAGCCATTCCTTATTGCTTTCAACTTTAGGCAAGAATCATCTCATCATACTTGCTAGGCAGACACTACCAATTGAGCCACACTTCCAGATCATTTTTATCATTATTCTTTGAATCCCATCTTGCATTTTACTGTCATGGACTGCAACCAGGCTGCCAAACACAGCTGTTTATTGCCTATGTAATCATCTCAGTAACATGTTGTCCAGCTTGGCCTCAAGTTGTATTCATCTATATATCAGCCTCCTCAGTAGCTAACATTACATATAAGAGCCACTGCATCTGGCTTCGCCAAGGTCCTTTACCTCATGGAGTAATTCCTGAGGGATCAGAAACTTTAATAATCTTGCCTTTCATTATTTACTACCTAGACACAGAATTACTGACAATTATCCCAGAGAATTGTCTGTTTTGTTTACTAAGTTCTTCATGCTTCTACTATGAAACTAAAACATAATTTCTCCTTGGTAAACAAGTTCAATCACATCTAAAAGAATCACTTCCTTATCCTTTTGTTGGTTTCATGGTATAAAGAACTTGCAAGAGCTCAAGGACAGAATGTATTTCTTCAGTAATTAGCAGTTCAAGAAGGTGGTTGTGATGTTGGTGGCAGTAATGTTTTGAGCCTCATAGGATGACACCATGCAGCCTCATGAAAATGATCTTTGCTGTCAACTATTTACCATTTGATCAGGACAAGTAACAGAAAAAATAAATACCATAACTTTCTTGAATTTTTAAGCAGAAAGACAAAAGAGGAAGGAAAGAAAGAAAGAAAGAAAAGAAGGAAGGAAGGAAGAAAGAAAGAATGAAAGAAAGAAAGAGAGAGAAAAAAAGAGAAAGAGGAGGCAAAAAAGCAACAGATTAAGACAGGGAGACTGATAAGAAGGAAGAAAGTAAGGAAAGCAGGCAGGAAGGAAGAAATAAACACAAAGACAGAAAAACATAAAAAAGACAGCTACTGAGAGATAGACAAAAAAGGCAATCAGACAGAAAGATAAAATAGACAGCAAACGAAAGGCAGAAATCAAGGGAGAGAGAAAGAAAACAAATAGGCAGATAGAAATACAAACAGAAACAGAGACAATAACAGACAAACTGACAGAGGAGATGAAAGACAAAGGCAAAAAGATTGAGAGACTGAAAGTAAGATAGAACAACAGAAGAATAGATAGAGAGACATCAAAATACATAGAAAGATGGTGGGGAGGGGAAGGATTGGGTGGGGGGCAGGAGGAGGCTGGGAAGGGATGGGAAGGGGAAACAAAGGAGGAGGCTACAATGCTTGAGAAGAAATGTACTCATTATCTTA